GTTATTAAAGATAGTAGATACTTCAAAGCTATACCGAATATATCGCAAATTATATATTGTTGGATCAAAATTACTTTTCGCAAGTGGTGTAGTCCCTTTCCATTGAGTGGTGTGTGCCAACACATAGAGTCCTATTAAAGGTGCATGTATCTACATAGATAATATAAGGCTTTAAATAGTAGAGCTCTCCTTGACCTGATAATTTAGTTTAAGGCACTTTCGACTGATTTTGTCGTGTAACCCCATATTTCTAACCAATTGTTCATCAGACATCCTCACAAATTAATGGAAATTTCTACAGCACGTTTTTTGTCTACTGATTATAGACGTAATATTTGTGTTATTCAAATGTATGTAGAAAATGTATGACCTGCAAAAATATCAATGTGATTCGAAAACTAAAATGTTATTACAACACAAGGAAGGTATATTTTTGATGTAGAATACACTGAGCGATTTAAAGTAGAAACTACAAACTATAACAAGACAATTATACTGTCCCTGGTGTCGCAGCTATGCATACCTGTATTTCCAAAAATACAATATTGACTTTGTGTAAGAGAACATTTCAAAACGAGTCATGTGTAAATGTTACATGATGGTGTTAAGTTAAACATAACATTTACCTTTACCAACTGTTGTGAAATGAATCCAAATTTCGATTTCTCACAATGTTTTTTTGATAGTGACTAATTTAAATTTTCGGATTATCGTGGATTTCGCTTATTTTTATCTTTTGTTAGTGATGCACAAATCGACGTACTTATAGATTGCGAGGAAAACAATAGGGTTATGGTACTCGATACATTTCTGTAATTCTCCGTTCAGAATAGTAAATTAATTAAACGTGGAGGATACTTCATCCACAGGCAATTTCCACCACGGGTGACTCTCTGCGAGACTGAATTCTTAGGAATTTCTAGGTCAGTGTACCATTCAACACCCTAGAAACAATGTTTGGCAAAAACAGGAAGCAAAAGGTTAAAAAGCGGCAGCTTCGATATAATCATCAAATTTAGTGAAAGATGAACAGAGGACTGAACAAGAATGGGCGGCGAAACGTGACACCTATGAAAGATATCATGTGTTTATCATGTTTGACAAATTCAGCTACTGTTGATTTAGGCTGAGTGAAGGTGTGATTCATTGTAATTACTTCATTGATTGTAACTAAAACAGTTATTTGGACAAAGTTATATGAAAATTGTGGTTGACCTTCAGTATCAATCTATTTATTTTAGAAGTGATCTAAGTCTTTTTTACTATGCAATTTTACTATGTAAGTATAGATCTGTGGGGTACACCAAAGAAAGGATGTCAGAACTATATCCATGAGCTTGAATAAATTATTCAGAATTTGATAGATAACTTTTACACCAGAGCACGGGGTACCACGAACACCATAGAATTGCAATGTTGTCAAAAGAATGCTATGAGTGATCAAGTGCTTTGGTCAGATGAAAAAAAATGTCCAGACTGAAGTATCCTTCATCATTATCATGAAGGATTACTTTCACAAGATCAATGAGTGCCAGTTTAGTGCTGTATTTATAATGGAATCCATATTGGTTTCTATAGAGAATATTTGATTTTTTAAAGAAAAGATATTTCCAAAACGTTCAAATATTTTGCTGATTTTATGCAGAATGAATATAGGTCTATAGTTGTGTAAGGTATAGGGGGTCATTTTATACATTTATTTATTCTGGAAAATACCCACTAACAAGAGAGAGACTGGGCAGCATCTTTAAGTATGTTAGAATTTATGTTGTGACTGCATGATTGGTTAGTTTCCAAACCATGGGTTAAAACTTATTTTCAACAATGGGGCTGAAAAAGAAAGCACTCGGATTCGATTTGAGGTAAATCATAAGATTAATATTGGTTGTAATTATTTTAGCTAGCTGTTTGCAAATAATGGAAAATATTATTTAAAATTTATTGAATTGAGCCAAGTAGTAATATTTTTCAGTTTCGGAAAAGAGTTAAGACTGGATCAACTTACTTTCAACAAGTTTTTCATATAGTTTATGCTTATGCTGTATTGACTTAAGAAGGCCCAGAGTTACCCACAGCTTTTTATTTTTTTATTTTTTTATTTATTTATTTTAATGAATGCACTCCAGAGATCTTTACAAATGATTTGAGTTGAGTCAACCTTATTTGTAATAACTAATCAATCTACATTTGACAGTTTACTGTAAAATTTGTCAATATGACCACTGAAGAAGTCTCTGGCAAGATATAATATAATGAATAGATTATTGAAAGTTTTTATACGGTAGCAAAAAGTGGAATGGGATCGGTAATGTCAGTAAAACCTATTCCACAGTCGACATAGTTATTAGGAACGTTGGCATATATATGGTTTATTATTGTAGAGTTAGGTGTTATTCGGTTCGGCTGTCAAAATAATTGTTTAACGTTTAGGAGAGTGTAATGATTCAGAATCATCCTGAAGTCATAGTTATTTTAAACTACATTAAATCACAGGTTAATATAATGTTTTACTAAGTGGGGTTAATTTTGTATAGGTAATTGTTAAGCCCAGCAGTAAATTTCTCAACTTCCTACAATACCTACAATGATGACACCAGACGATAGTTGCAGATCAATAAATAATGACCATAATCAAAATTTATATTGAAATCTGCAATAAAATAGTAATGGGTATATCAAGTATTAACAAATAAAGTGTTAATTAATACGTTGGAGCAGAGCGTATACAAATACTTGGCTGGCCTTCTTCCACGCAAAAGGAAATTTCACTATTCTATGTTCGGATGTACTTGTATTTATATTCCTTGCTATGTGTGTTTGCAATCTAGAATAGTATCTTGCTGGAGGCCAAAATGTGTTCATTGATGTAAATTGTGACTTCATATTCATGCACATTCAAGTGGATTGCGTGGTCAGTTTTACAATTACCATTCTGTCTTGATTATTTCGCACACTGTTACGTGTAAATGTATAGATATCGTTCCTTCCACATCAGCTATAATTTACAAAACAATTTCGTCAGTATACATACTGCCAATATTTTAATGAAGTTTCAATGAAACCATGGTCATCTGCTTAACGTATGCATACACCACTGACCAGTAATTATCTAAATACAGGTGTTTTGACAAACTGTATATAGTACAACACATTTGAATAGAATTAATACATTATATTGTAGGGCTGAATGTGACTGTATCTAAAGAATTCACATTTTGTCTGCCATTACTGATGCACGATATGGTATGCGCTTTGGTACATATACTCAAACTGAGTGCGGTTCACAAATGGTATGCCACTACTGTAATTACGAAAGATGACTACAGCGCCTTCTCTGGTGAAAATATAGCACAATTGTGACCGTGTTGTTGCAATCAGTGATCAATGTGAAATATTTCTTTAAAGTCATTCATTAACATAAATTGGATTTAGACTTTACAGAGGAGTACCTCTGATCTTCCTAACATCCTGATTTATGAACTTATGTTACATTCTCAATCTTCACTTGGTACAGAATCTCTAATATCATCAAACTACATGACAATATTTGTGGATAAGATATCTGGTCAGCACAGGGAAAGAAACCAATCAGCGTCAACTAAAGCGTATGATGGAAAAATAAATCTCAATAAATAACTTTCTCAATTGGGTTTTTGCCCAATCACAATAGTTCGAGAGTAGTTGGTAAATTTCAATTGTATTATGGGTCGGGCATGTCTACTTACAGTTGCAAGATGATTCCTGTTGTCATGAGTTTGAATTTCGTGTATGCGTTTTTATATGTTTGTAATATGTTTGTGATAACATTACAGTATGATTATAATAGCCTGAGAATTACTATATTATTTATTATTGCATCTATGTAATTCCCAATGATTTGATCCTTCTTTATTGTTATTTTTATCAAGGCAATAAACCACGGCGGTTGTTTACATTTCAGTTTAATCATATGAATGTGGTTAAAAAAGCAAATATTGTCAGTAGGTACATCAATACTCGACTGTGCTGAAATATATCGACTATTGTCCATTTAAATAAACAGATTTTGTTTTTACACATTTTTATTGATATTCCGCCTTCATTTGACGAATTTTAGCGAAAAAAACCCACAATTGTTAAATTATTGTTTTATATAAGTTTGCTTAACTTTCTTTTGATATATGGTGTCAGATTCTGGTCTACTTTTGTTTATTTCAAACAACAAGTAATGACCAACCGAACATAAAACAATATGCAGCTTGTTTGTATTCAAATTAAATTAAGCATAATCGGAACAAACGAATTAATATTTATCGTTACATGAACGTACCTTACGAAGTATAATGATTTAGTTTTATCAATAACGTTGTTGCGAGTTTAAACAATTATTAACAATTAAAAAACTATATGGCGTTTATTTATGTTACTAGTTTGTGCAATAATCTTCAAAGAGTAGAGATCCTAACTCAATGTAAAACAAACTGCGAAATAAACAGTATGTCCCTTCGTTGTGCTGATGATGTTCATATTTTTGGTTAATTATCATTAATACTATTTGTTTCTTTCTCAAAATAACAGAATTATGCAAAGATATGGAGTTTATCCAACACCGGGCATTATAGATCATGCTATTACAACAAACAACAATATATCCACAAACAATAACTTGTATCAAAGTGAATTACGTCACAATGTAACGCAAATATAATAATTGCATGTATTTTGTTAACCGAATTAAATTTTCTTCTAAAAGGTAAAGTATTTTTTTCGAATAATTAAGTGTTTTTATAAACGAATATATTTTAAATTATATAACAGTTACCTATTAAGGTTAATACCTACGATTTGATAACTGTTATGATATGATATTATACATAAAGGGGAATTCCAATATCATCAAACCTATTACGCTCTAAATGGTAAATAAAGCAACTGCTAGTTACTAGATCTTGAATGAAATAAAGATAAGTCGACAACATAATGTCTAAAATGAAATCCTAAAATGAAATACTGGGGGTTTTGAAATTGATATAAATCTTATGAATCGATAAAAGAAATCGTGAATTTGTATGAGACAAACAAAACTTATCATGCCCGATATAGAACAATGATTACATGCTGTTGCAAACACTCTTTTGCTTTTCTGGGGTTTTAATGTCAATTCCATTTTGCAATGCAACGACAATCGATACACTATTTTTCAGCTTTTCGGCTTCTTCTTGAGACAAATGCTGGTTCAACACTCCAACTACACCAGATGAACCAAGTATACATGGCAAACTGATGAATGCTTGGTCCTTTATTTCACGAAATCCCTAAATAAAACAAACATTAATTTTAAATATTTCTATTTAATGTCATGTTTGTCAGTTCTGATGACCTAATTATATGAATAAAACACTTATTTCAAAAATGCCAGTAATACGAACAATAGGCAACATATACTCCACAATACGATGCTCCATATTATTCAGATTATCGAAATATGATAATTCGAACATTAAATGAAAATAAATAATTAAAATTAAACAAACAACTATCGCTCTTTGAGTTCAAGAAAGTAGTTTTTAGAATGATAAACATTCAGTATGTATGTGTATGTGCCAGTGTGTATTTTTGTTTTGTTTTTCTCTCTGTCGGTAAGCGCGTTATTCAAATTATATTGTTTCTAAATGAATATAGTTATAAGACTTTACACATATGTTTTTAACGTAACACAATGCTGTTTCAACTGACAGAATATATAGTGATTAATGCATTCATCCGATTGTCGTAGCGCGATAATTCAAATATTAATAATTGACAGCTTATTATATTGTAACATTTATTTTGTAATATGTTGATTTGTTTGTATGATATATGAAATCACATACCTTAATCAATGTAGACACGGCAAAAACTTTGTTTTCATTTCTCAAAATAGATTGAATTAAAGTTGCCACGCTCAGACCAATGGCCCATGATGTGTACCCTTTCAGATGAATAATCTGATATGCGCTGTGAATATATTGAACGGGTATTTATCACTTTTTAAATGACAATGTTCTTTAGATTACAGCCTTTTTATTACAATTTTCAATTACACATAAACAACCGTGTTTGGTTTATTACATCACATATATCCACACAGTCGCTAGCATAGTTTACAGTTTGTTTGTTTTACTGGATTAAAAAAAAACATATTCGCCTCAGATTAAATGTTACACCATCTTTATTACGCATTTTTTGGACAAAAGGAAGAGTGTGCCGAGTAAAATTTCGTTTTGTCAAATAACGTGTCTTACTAAAGAATTCAACATATTTGGCATTTACGTATCTTTTGCCATGACTTACTATGCATTTCAACGTATTTTTAGAATGTAATACTGGAAAAGAATACAGAATAACACTCATCCATGCCTACCTATCAACAACTTTCTTATGCAGACCTTCCAGTTTCTTAGCACTCGCATCGATTCCCGTATCAGCATTTAAGGATTTCAGTAATGTACCAGCTACATTTACGCCCGACCATACTGGCACTGTGAAAATCAAGAAATCAATTGGTTTGAACGCTGGATCATCGGGATAAAATACTGTTAACATATGAAATGCTGATTAATGTTAGAAATGCTTTTTGTGCAAAATCATATAGGGTAATTTTGATTCTGGTTTCGATATAATCCAAGAAATTCAGCGCAGTTTATTGTTATCCTTATGTTTAAAAATACTACTTTTGGAAAAATTATACTTTTCTCGTTTTAGACGGTGCCTATTAATAGTAAGTATTGAAGAAAATTACATTCAGATTGAAAAATATATTTTCAGTTTAAACATTATGTTTAGCTCTAACATGTATAACGAGAACGCTGACATAATTATGTCATTGGAAACGTCAATCGAAAAATGGATAAGAGAATTATATATTTGAGAGTAAACATCATTGCCTAAATAATCTACATCTGAACTTATATCCCGGATAACCAAAATAATTATAGGGAGCGGACCGAAATCTGAAGAAAATCAGAGTGGTAAGATTATACACGCACGATTGTTTTTTACTCAATTCAAGATGGTAAAGTGTTATGTCAGATAGTTGTAGTTGTTTCCAATGAGCCACTGACGTTTTTTTTCAAGATCTTTCATACAATATATGTTGAACATATAAAAACTAAATAACAGATTGAAATGTTCATAGAAGAATCACCACTTGAATCTCCATGTTCTCCAATTATCCACGCGTGACAACTAGATGGCGCTATTCCTAATTCCTGTCCCAGAATGAATCGGAACCGTGCGGAATCTAGGTTTGTACCGCTTCCAATGACGCGATTATGAGGTAGTCCACTGATCTTCCACGTCACATAAGTCATTACGTCAACTAGAATTAGAAGAATAGAAGGTGTGAACACATCATTTACAGCATTCCGGTGGTTCTCGCCATACAAAGTATATCAATAACACACACGATATTACCCGTCAATAAATGTGTAGTGTTAAATAATGAATGATATATGTATGGGTTAACTGGATGTAAAGATAGATATGACTTGTTTTAGTTGTTGTAAATACTCAAACAAATTTACATTTCCTATAAGTTACGCCAGGAACAATGCGATTCTACGGTGTAATAATGACATATGTTGATGAAACGAATGTAGTTCTTAGTTACGAATGCAGATGTTTATTATTCTGAATATAGTAATTTTTCAAAGCATTATTTTTAATAATAGATATCTACAGATCATAACAATAGCAAACTTGGCAATTCGAACGAGGAAAGTGAAAGTAATAATAATGCTACTTACACCCGTACTGTTATGTATACATGTTGCGTTATTGTTCAAATCAATTCATTGTGTTCAGTTTGAATAACCCGTAACGCATCAACCATTTCGAATACGTCATGCCATATATAACGTCAGATATTGGATTTGTTACAATAACATAAAATGTACAATGGCGCGTCTTAATCATATGGGATTGAAACACGTGGAGAATGTTGAGATTGAGGTTTGACAGTCATACTTATTTTAAACAATTGTGAATCTGGATTGTATATCCGTAAAAAAATCATACCTGGGTTGGAAACCACCAAAATGATAGTTTCTGGACTATACTTAACCAATTGTGGAATAATAGCTGTGAAAAAAATATCAATATAAATTAATCTCATTAAATTTGCTACTCCTAACCTATACACTTGAATACACTACATATCGTTGAGGAATGAATTACAGAATATGAATGTAAACGGAAGTATAACATTGTTATTCAGTACTTTCAAATGTACATGTGTAAAAAGAGCAGCGCAATATAGATGCTTTTGATTTTCCTTGTTTGTCAGCGAAACAACATCAGTTTTACACATTTACATGTGTTAAGCCTGGGCGAGGGTGATGTGTCACATCTTTGAAATATAAGTATGCAGTTTAAAATGACAACTGTACTTACATTTGAATATTTGAACATTTTTGTTAACAAGACTGAGTCTGCCTTCTCCGACACGTTGCCTAACGCCGGCAGTGACAATACAAACTTTAGAACCAGCAGTTACTTTGTAATCTGAAGTACAATAAAAACAAGTCCTATATTAGTTCGGAAAGATATGTGCATAATTTAGGCATGTATTGACGGCATTTTGTATTTGGTTTTGTACATTATTTTGACTAACCATAAAATGATAAAACCTGAAATCTCGTTGATGATATGACTACTTATGTTAATGTTTTCAGCTCTACCTTGTTTCAAACTGTCAAACCCGAGCGTAACTCATACTAGACTCACCTATATCAGCTACAATGTTTACTGGCTTTACAAAAGCCATGCTATGTTGTAAATCCATCATCTCGCCTTTCAATTTGTCCTGAAGTATGTCAACCAAGACAAGGTCTGATACCAACCCCTAATAAGAAACAACATTTTCCTAATTGAAATGTGACACTTCATTAATAAAATTGATTGCGAATAAGGACAATCACCATATACCTGGTTTTTCAATCTAACGAGGAAATCTTCAGATGTTTATGCATATATATGTTGTTAGTTATTTTCAATACATTTTTGTAGTCAAAAAGAAAAGAAATGAGATCGAAATCCTGCATTCAATTACAGATTGAAGACGTCAAACTATGATATATGAAGATAAGCAAAACACGGCTAGATTGCGATATACTATACCCTTACCAAACGTGTATATCTACTTCAATTTACTAATTGCAGTAATAATCTTGTAATAGTCACAATGGCTTTATGTTTCAACATTATACGTGCTTAAATCAGTACAGACGATTCTTCTCACCTTTTGAACAAGAGTAAAAGCACATGCCATACCGACGTCCCCAACTCCAACTATGCTAACTTTGTTTGGTGACGTTGTTGGTTCTTTGTCGGTTTGTATCACCAATTTGTCTTTGAGTGTTGACATGCTCACAATTAATCTATAAAGATGAACAATAAATATTTATATCATTAACAATGTTTATCATGAATATTAATATCATTCCTAGACACTTTTAAGTACTGACTCAGCAAATATTACGGTTTATTTCAAATGTTTCATGGTATTTGTTTTACCAGAAAAAATGGTGTGGAGCACTAGTGATGCATGAAATATCAGAAAATAATTGATTGGCTCAATAGAATCAATGAACTGTTTAGTGTTGTTAGCATCCTTTACTCTATGTTTTTTTTTCATATTACCCAAAACCCTGCAAATAGAAGTGTGTGGGAAGAAACGCTGTTCATTGCAGTGTGATAACTGTCATAAAGGTGATTGGCAGGTCATACTTCTTTTACAAGGACAATCGGAATCTATCAAGTGTGCTTGTGATTTACATAACACAGAATGTTTACTATCTACTGACTTTTTGACGTGAAAGCCTGCATGTCATCGTGAGACAGCTGCTAGCTAGACCACATTTCTGTGGAAACCCAGGTGGTGTACCTGAATTTGGGTCATTTATGTCCTAAAATAGGCTAGACTGAGGACAGTTGTTGTCTACCATTTCAACTGAGTACCCTGTATGTTGCTACTACGATATTGTGAGACATGTGATACAGGCTTCAACCATCAGTCTGTGAGACTTGTATGAACTGCTCTGCGATCTCCTGCTTTCAGTAGTGCTCTTCGGTATAACAGCGTTCATCTGCAAGCAAGACATATATATTTTTCTTCATCGCAGAAGCCATTGACTGTCATCAATTTCCACATCCTGGAACTGTGAGTTACCATCAATGCGCACATCGCTATGCAATCCACTATTTTAGTGAATTTAGTCATTGCATTATTCTGTGCTTTGTATTTTATGTGTATGTGTATTCTTGTACTATTGTCTTGTTTACTTCATTCTAGCAGTGAAAGAACCCCCTGTCCAATGTGAGTTCTTCGGGTGCTCCTCTTATTAGCAATAAGCAGGCCTTTCACTTTGCCAAGTGTCAAGATATAATATAGCATATTGTGTTTTTAACCAAACGAATGTACATCTATCTAAGGGCGAAATAACACAATCTATTTTTATATGGAGAGGAGAGATCAGTGCCCAAATTAATTTTCTTTCTTTATCATTAAGTTATATTTGTCATTCATTATAACATTGTTTTTTCGAGGTTTTTCGATTTTCTTTGTTCTGAACATTTTTTTGTAAATCAGTGTCATTCAATGTTTAATATCGTATCATAACATTTCTTCACTTTGACATAAGGCTATATCAAGCATTTGCAAAAGTTCCACAGCTTCATTTCAAAGCCAATTTGTGGTCTGTAATTTCAAATCTAGGTACAAACCAACTTAGCAATCATTCTTGGTCAGCCTTATTACGCCCTGGCGCATGGTTATAACTTACTATTATTCTTCAAAATGTAATTTACAACATCCACTTGTTTATGCCTTTCATTGTAATTCGCTAATACCTGTTAGCTGCAGTAAGACCATTCACCGAGTGTGTCGTGTTGGCGATGCCTTATTTTTAATGCGAAACGATGAAATAAATGTTATCAATCTTTTGAAAGAGTCAACCTGGTGTAGGTGTAGTGTGAATTTTTTATTCATCGCTCCATTGTCTCATTCACTCTGCAGGCTACTGAGGATTTACCTCTGGAACCGAACAATATTTAGTATCTTGATACCACTAACAGAAATATAGCAAAATTAAGCAAACGGTTGCCAATGTGTTGCTATCACCAACAAGATCATGATGACTCCATCAATAAATTATATTTTAATCACAGGCGATCAATTGACGATAAAGTTGTGTTTAAGAATCGGCGTTTATTCCATATCCATTACGCTATGGTTCATTTTACTTTTTTTCCTATTTTCCCTATCATGAACGTTAAAAAGCAAATATTTTTGTAATATAACATATCTGTGAACCACTAGTACCATAAAATATAACCCCAATAGGCCGAAATGTTGTTCGTTGGTTCAGCAAGATGGAGGTAAACATTAATATAAACAAAACGTTCAGGGAGGAAATGATCAAAACAAAAAACAGTCGATAACATCAAAGATGATCAAAATACGTAAAAACAAATGATTATATAATGGTCTACAAAGGAGTAAAAACGCGATGTAATTTTAAAATGTCTAAAAATCATGTAAAGGATATCTAATATAACTTGGTTTTAAAATAAATGAAATCATTTTGGCTCTGATTTCACTCAACAGTGGAAATATTTGCATGTAGAATTATCCCTATTTTTAGAGTTTTTAATCCTACTGAAGCAATGAATTTATATTCTGAATTTATATTCTGACAATAATTTTATATCTACAAAATAAAAAGTATTACTGAGACTCTTCTCGTTGTATTGATATATATTGTGTTAAGAAAGACATATACCCGAAAACAGTTACGTGGGTAGCTCCTTTATCTCACTCAATGCTTGGTATCAATGCATACTTTATATTTATTTGACCAGAAATAGCCTCAGCATTCTGCCATAAAAAGCACTGGCATTAATACCACACACAACGTCCTCCCTCTGTTAACATTGAAACTAAAATAGCCTATACATTCCAAATAATACGAATTTGCCTAAACGTCAAATCACTGGGCGTTTGATAGTGTAGTATACCACTGAGTGCGTTTGTTTAAATCCATGCAATTCGTCAAGCAACGCTGTGATTCCATTGTCATATCTGTGTTCTTATCGTCCGACAAATGACAAGTGCACAATATAGAACTGAAAACTACACACAACTCAGAAATTGTCAATAAATAGTAAATAAAAAAACACTTACCATAAACAATGCCTGCATGGAATTTAGTGACAAACACAAGTAGATTGAATGTCGACTCTGTGTCATCCAATGTGCACAAAGGGATGTCGTATGTCGTTTGGAGCAACATAAATAAAAGCCTAGGAAGCCAGGCTACCAGCATTAAAATAACTCGTACGGGTTGCGATAGCAACGGAATATTTTATTGAATAATTTAACGTGAGATTATGTTAACACATTCAGCAAGTTTTGAAATGTAACCTTTTACATTCACACACAGCTCATGATCACTATAACCACACTCAATATGGTTTTCTGAAAATTCTTACACGTTATATACGTAATGGCAACATGGGTATTGACAATTTGCATCCGACAATGTATACGAAGATATTTGTTCGTGTACAAGAACACAATATGATTTGTTATATTATGGGGTTATTTACGCCCGTGTACATTGATCTCAAATCTCAAATGCAAATAATGGGCGACATGCAGTTGAAAGAGAACACTCCCGTCAAATTCTTATTACAGTAGCACAATTTGTCAACAAGTTTAATAAACATTTATTTTGTATTTAGAGTCTGAAGAAATCCACATATGAACTCTTGTATTTCAGATTGACATTGCGTCATTCAACCACACCCAATCCAGACTAAATGATTTAATTCAAGAGACCTGCAAATCCACCACTGATGTTTATTACATCCATCACAACCTTATAGATAAGGAAAATAACATCAAATCATATTTATTTGAAGACAAAGTCCATGTCAATAAAAAGAATACAAGCTTTCTGGTATATAACATGAAGAGATACACCTATGGAGCAATAGTTTCACATGTAAAGGACCAACGACCTAACGCTAGTACTACATCAAGACACATGGATCACCACAAACATACACACCAAAGAGTCAATCACTTCTTCAATCAACGTAACAGAATGAACAGTTCTGGCACCAATAAGAAACAATTCATTGAGGATATGTTGACCAACATAAAGAACTATATTGGAAGATAACTTTGACAGTATCTGAAGTGTTTTAAAACATGTACAGACCTAGGATCAGGTATCCTAAAGCAGTAATTTGTTGCTTTTTTTCTATCTTCTATTCTTCTGCACATTTTTTATATGAGTATGTCACATTTTGGAGTGAGTAGACATACCCTTAAATTTTCTGCTTGGAATAGTTTTGGAAACTTAGAAAAGAAATTAGGTGACAGCACCTTTATAGATAGTATTAGTAATTTTGATTTTATTAGTTTAACTGAAACAAAAACAAACACAGACTCGTGCATTGATGTACCAAATTATAATTATTACCACTCATTTCGGTCCAAAAAACATAAAAAAGCACGCTCAAACTCGGGCGGGGTAGTCCTCTATTTCAAAAACATATACAAAAAAGGTATAAAGCGTGTTAATAGTAGCTCAGATGACTTTATTTGGGCACAACTCGACAGAAATTCTTCAATTTAGATCAGGACTTATTTCTATGCACACTATACATTAGTCCTCAATCGTCTAGTATTTTCACTTGGCAAGAGTGTAATCTGTATCAGCTACTAGAAAAAGATATTGCCAAATATGAAAAAAAGAGGCAATAATTCTGACTGGGGATTTCAACGCTAAAACTAAAAATGAACAAGAATTAGTTATGTATAACAATACAGATTATACAGTATCCAATTCTGCCATCAGGTTCAAATAGAGGGCGTCACAAGACATGGCCATTAAGAATCAGTAC